ATCGCGACCGCCTTCCGCACCTTGTCACAAGTGTGAATGAGCATCTGTGTGTACGTCCCGTTGTTTGCCTGCACCACTCAACCATTTCAGTTCCAATACTTCTACGTCCTCCCAAACTGTTATTCAATTCATAACACCATGATCTGTTCGCCCTTCTCCCAATGAAGCCACCTACATGGTGAAGACTCTCCGCAGAGTCCAAGTCAAATCTCCGAGTCCTCTCCGTTCCTCTATTTGCCTCGATCGGCATTTTTTTTTAAACAGGTTCTGATACGTTCTACACTATCCTAAGATGGATGAGGCCATTGCCAGTGTGGTCATGGTGACCGGAACCACTCCTGAACTTGCCGCACAATACGTTCAACTCGCAGACGGCGACCCCAACCAGGCCGTACAGTTATTCTTCGAAAATGGTGGCGCAGACCTTACAGGCCCATCATCTCACCCGCCGCCTCCTTCGTCCTCACATCCTGCGGGCGGCGCCGATAACCCTATCGATATAGATGCAGAAGAGAATATCTCAGATGACAATGATCCTGATGTTACTGGTTTCAGGAAAATACCTCAGAACAATGCCCCTTCACGACCTATAGCTGCAGCAGATTACGAGGATGATGAAGCCATGGCGAGACGGTTGCAAGAAGAGATGTATGGTGGAGGCGGTATGGATGAAGGTGTCGTCCGAGCCCCAATCGCTCGACAAGCAGAGACACTAGTAGGGCCAGGAGCTGATGCTTTGCCGGGTTTGGGGGTTGGAGGTCCTGATCACGATGCTGCGATTCAAGAGCGAATGCTTGCTTTTCAAAGACGGAGGAATCAACGTCAGTATGAAAGTCGCTTTTTGTAGACCGTGACTAACCTCTTATCAGCACGCCCTGGAATTTTCAACCAACACGAACCATCTAGTATCTGGGATCGAGACATGATGAACGAAGGCCCTGCCCGCGACTATCTAGCCGAAGCAACCGGTGGCGCATCCGAAGCGTCTTCTCGATCGACTAGGCTCGCGAGACTTTTCCAACCTCCATGGGAGTTGATGTTTAAGGGTGAGTGGGACGACGCAAGAGACGAAGGAAAAGAGCACAAGAAGTGGATATTGGTTGATATTCAAGATCCCTCCATATTCGACTGCCAAGCTCTGAACCGAGATCTCTGGAAGAACGAAGGGATTGTTGATACGCTGAAGGAGAATTTTCTTTTCATCCAGTACAATAAGGACGACCCCAGAGCTGGACAATACATCCAGTACTATTTCCAGGACCATGACAGTTCAGACGCTTATCCCCATGTTGCTATTGTCGACCCCAGAACAGGCGAACAGATCAAACTCTGGTCGCGAAAAGTACCTACGGCGCCGGAATTCTTGATGCAGATCCACGAATTCCTCGACAGATACAGTCTGGACAACAGCGCACGCAACCCAGTCGCCAAAAGAAAGTCCGAAGCCAAGAAAGAGAAGCCGGTCGATCAGTTGAGCGAAGAAGAAATGCTCGAGCGGGCATTGCAGGCAAGTCTGGCCACGCAGACTCAGGAACAGCCGCAACCACCACCAAACGAAGACCCAGACGATCTGACCCGTAGCATTGGAGATTTGCGCCAGGGCGGAGGTCCCTCCATTGCAGATGTTATGGATGTCGATGTCGACACAAATGGGGGTGCCGCGACAGCAGAAGCGACCGCTTTCTCACAAATACCATCAGACCATCCCCACGTCGAGCCTCCGGCTGGACCAGGTATTACACGGGTACAGATCAGACACCCTGGTGGCAGGATAGTCCGACGATTTGCTGAGGGTGACCAAGTGCAACGAATTTATGAATACCTGAAAGCAGAGCCCCTGGAGGGCAGAGAAGGAGCCGACTTTGAGCTGGTTTCCATGGGCAAGAACCTTATCGATTCTCGACAGGAATCCTTTGAAGCCGCTGGCTTGAAGAACGGAACCGTCATGGTGGAGTTTGTGGAGTAATTCTCCCTGATGCAGAGATCCCGTCTTCCTTGTGCAGACAAGAGTTACTACACGGCGTTCTTAAGAAGCTACGCTAGAGATACCACCTGGCTGAGATTATGCTGTGTGTAATGGCAGCTGAAGCAGCTTTTCTGCAGCTGGTGCCGAAAATGCAGCAGACCATAAGTGAACTCATCTTCAGCGGGTTTCTAAAAGTGAATTGTAGCTTTTTTCTGGCTGTGGAAATTGTTTTAGCTGCGCGTCGCATCTGAGAAAGTGACGCGTCGGGCCAATGGGAGTCGTGAACAGCGCTCGACGACAGATGCGGTAAAACAAGTAAACAGAAGCGGAACCCTTTTCATATTTCACGCAGTGCACTTCACAATGCATAGCAACCAATATAATTGAACACGATATCATGTGGTAACCCATGATTAACGACATCACGACCTTCACGAACAAACCACGCAGATGAGACAGGCAGTGGCACCTGCCCAGTGCGCTCCGAAGAATTGACAGTGCATATCGCCCTCAATACTCCGACAACTTCCCTACCCTCACACCATTTGAGAAGGAGCAAAAACATATCCCTCGTTCGTCTGTCTTACTCTGTGCCACTATACTCGGCAAGATAGCACCCTACGGTCCAGTACTGTACAGCCTGCACCTCGCCGATCCACTACCTTTGCCCTAACAATGGATCCCGAGGAGCTGTACACAAAACAAAATTGCATCGGCGGAGGTAGTTTCGGAAAAGTATACAAAGGCGTTGACAAGCGCACCGGACAAGCAGTGGCTATTAAGATCATCGATGTGGAGAATGCTGAAGATGAGGTTGAGGACATCATACAGGAAATCTCAATACTGTCAGAACTGCAGTCCCCCTATGTGACCAAATACCATGGCTCGTTCCTCAAAGGTTCAGATCTGTGGATCATCATGGAATTTTGTTCTGGAGGAAGTTGTTCGGACCTCATGAGACCTGGCCTCATCCATGAAGACTATATCTGTATCATAATCCGAGAACTTCTCCTTGGTCTGGACTATTTACACTGCGACAAGAAACTCCATCGCGACATCAAAGCGGCCAATGTACTGCTGGGTCAAAACGGGCAAGTCAAACTGGCCGACTTTGGCGTATCTGGACAACTGTCGGCGACCATGACCAAGAAAAATACCTTTGTCGGCACACCTTTTTGGATGGCTCCAGAGGTCATCAAACAGTCGGGCTATGATCACAAGGCAGACATATGGTCACTGGGAATTACAGCAATTGAGCTCGCGCAGGGAGAACCTCCTTATGCCGACATACACCCCATGAAAGTACTTTTTCTAATCCCAAAGAACCCACCACCTACTCTACAGGGCAATTTCACTCGCACTTTCAAGGACTTTGTTGAGCTTTGTCTACGAAGAGATCCTCGAGAACGGCCTTCCGCAAAAGAGCTGTTGAAACACCCTTTCATACGAAAAGCAAAGAAGACGACATATTTGACTGAGCTGATTGAGAGGAACGAGAGGTACATGGCTAGTCATGGCAGTCGATCCTCGGACGATGAAGAGGAAGACGAAGGGCACGTACAACAGCGTGAGTCGGAGAATGAAGACCTTTGGGATTTCGGTACTGTGAGACCTGTGGGAGGTCGTGCAGGTGGACTTCGCCCGATGAACGACTCTGATACCAATGCGAGGGCATCTGCTGAGCCAGCTGCACCTAAAAGCAAGGTTGACTGGGATGAGACCGTCAAGGCACCTTCTTCTCCACAGAAATCGCCTGTCAAATCTGTATTTCCCACTCCTACGAAAGTTCCGTTACCACCCTCTCCGAAAAAGACAACAACTTCAGCATCAAATGAGGGTTTGACTTCTTCCGCTATCGCTCCACTTCTCCCTGCCTTGAATGCAGCTATCCCAAAAACACCGGCAGCTCCGCTGGTTTCTAAGCTCTCCTCATCGCGAGAGCACAAAGACAGTCCTGGGTCTGGGGAGTACAACAAGGCGTTTCAAGCCCAACTAGCGAAGGACATGGGCTTCTTGAAGCTAGACAATGGAGATAGCCCAAAAACACAATCCTCCCAATTCCCAACACCACCAGGCCAGAAACCCCAGATGCTCATACCTGAAATTCCTCCTTTCAAAGGAAAGCCAGGAAGAGGTGAGCCTCTTCAGAAAGCCTCACCAGGACCTTTGAAGCCTTCAGGGCAACATCCTCTTCCGGCCTTTGCATTTGCATCTATCCCACAAACGGAGACTACTGCGTCAGTGACGAGTCAACAACCCCTACCACCTCTAACAACCACAACCAACCAACCATCGTCTTCAAACCCCGTTACTCCAAGCACGATGAGTTCGCAGGACCCCAGTCAAGAGGAAGAACTCACTGCACTGACTTCTGTCATTATTCCAGCGCTCGAAGCTGCCATGCACCGTCGCAGTTACACGTTGAAGGAGCTTGGTCGAGCCACCAAACAAGGATCTTCTGTTGCCGCACAGATGCAGCAACAGAGAATTCAGACTCATGAGAAAGTCAGACGGCTAGCTGGTAAAGCTGTGCAAATATTCCAAGAGATTCAGAGGTACGACGAAGAGTGTCCTGTCGGCATGGGTGGTGGAGTTACTGAATTTCTAGAGGGCTTTCTGGAAGAAATACTTGTACGAGTGGAGGCGGCCGAGGAGCCAGAGATGAGTCCTAGGAAGTAATGAGGTTTCATGTAATTGATGAGGTCGGTTGTTTTATGTCTAGACGAGGTCCGGGATCGAGCTTTGCAGCACTGAAGTATGTATTATAAACAAAGGGCTTCATGATTCGCAGGCGAGAATAGCGGCGTCAGTTGTGTTCAGCAAGTACTGACGAAATAGTGTATCTATGGCCACACATACAACTACCTAATGTATCCTCATAGGTCTAGAACATTGGACTGTTCAAGTCGATCAGCTTCCTTCACGTTCACGGGTGAGAAAAAAAAGTTCGAGGTCAACACATTAAAGGTTGGGGTAGACATCAAGGTCTGAGAATCATTAGTACCTGATAGATTTGTGACAGATAAACGAAGCATTACCTTGCCCGGGTTCGAACCGGGGTTGCCGGAATTCATATTCAAAATCCGGAGTGATCACCACTACACTACAAAACCGTCGTCATGCTCTCGAGGGCAATTTGACATGAATTTTGGAGAGGTATTGCTAATATACATTATCGTTTTCCTTACTAATCAGTGGCCGGCTCGGGCGGGCCTCCTGCGCCCATGTGTCCTATAAGGTCTCTCTGGCATTCAAGAGATGACTCATCCATTTACTTGGTAAATGCCCTATCCGCATGAAACGTACATAGTCGCAGAAACATCCACAAACTCATGATGATGTGAAACGCCTGATTGCCGGCGTTGGGAAGGACGTCTTTCGCCTTTGTCATACTGCGAACATTCAATTTTACGGTGCGCTGAGTCAAGTGTCACTGAATCCAAATGGCGCAACCACAGTTGAGCAACCTCGTCCGTCTTGCGCCCCTACAAGTCAGCGATCTTCCCTCGCATCCCGGCCTACCCTCTGCGCACGGCGATCTAGCCACGTTTCTCGTCTCACTTCTCGACGACGGCACAGCCTTCTTATCGCCCTCACACTTCACGCAGATCTTCAAGCCCCAGTCCACCAAGACATCCGCGCCGTCCTCCGCACGCGTCGAGATCCATACACACAGCGTGCCCGCCTCGTCTCTGGCACAGGTAGCCTGGTCAGGATCCGGCAGCAGAGTGTCGCGCAGCACTCCCGCGAACTTGGGCGCAGGTCCAGAGAACTGGTTCGCCCGGCGCAGCGTACACAAGGACATATCGAGTAAAGACCCCTCTAGTCCCGGCCACGCCAGGTGGTCTGAGTTTGTGTACGGTCTACGCGACGAGCATAGTAAGCATGAAGCGGACTTTACGCCGACACTGTACGATGCGCACTGTGTGCTTGACTGGAATTCGGCCGTGCGAGAACTAGAACAGAGAGGTGGGGTGGGACGGTATAAGAAGTGTACATTGGGCATCTACGAGATGTGTCATGCTATCCCTCCGCCACTGAGTCCGCGGTGTTTCAGCGTTCTTGTGGCGACGGCGAGTGTGGATGAGGATTCGTTCGTCGCGGTTACGGTGCCGGTTGAGCTTGGGCAGCAAGGGTTTTATAGTTCGGGGAAGAATGTCAAGGAGGGGAAAGACGAGCAGCAGAAGAAACAGGTCTGTATGGGGGTTTATGCTGCTGTTGAGGTTGTGAGACGGGACAGGACGAAAGGCGAGGTGGAGTGGGTGATGGCCACGGCGAGTGATGCTAAGGGAAATTTGCCGATGTGGATGCAGAAGATGAGTTTGCCGGGTGCGATTGCGAAGGATGTCGGGTTGTTTTTGAAGTGGATTAAGACGGTGAATGATGGGGAGATTGAACGTGTGGATGTGCCTGGGGTAGAGACGGGTGCGATGATATAGGGAGGTCGACGAGATTGTTCGGCTGGATGTATGATTGTATAGATGGATAATAGATATCTAGACACAACCTGTAGATCTATCTCTGCGATCCGGATCACGGAGTACACAGCAACTGGCAAGGCCATACGAACACTACAATCGCGGTCACACCTGAGATATCTTGCTCTTCTTAAACTCCAAGACCGGACCTTCCCGGTCAGCAATCAGCCAATCTTTCAACTGGTACTCGCCGACGCGTTCACGGCCTGGTTCCCAGCCTGGCCTGCCCTCGCCAGAGTGGTCACCCTGCTTAAGCCTGATGTCGAATAACCAGATGACCCGTGCAATGGCGATGCTGAGCTCCATGTAAGCCATATTCTTGCCAACGCAACTTCGTGGACCAGACAGGAAGGCGTGGAACGCGGACTTGGCCACCTCAACACTCTCGGGCGTCACATCGAAGCCGGTGACCGCTGACGATTCCGGTCCCGCGAGCCACCGTTCGGGCAGGAACTCGAATGGACGCGAGTAGTACTCTGGGTTGTGATGGATTGCGTAGTGCGTCACGCCCACAACGGCACCTTCAGGCACAAAATGGCCATCAATGACTGCGCCACCCGCCAGAACCAGACGGTCGAGGTACCCTGGGACAGAGGGTGCGATCCGCAGAGCCTCGTCGATACAAGCCCGCAAGTAAGTAAGGCTTGACAGTTTGGTACCCCATCTGATGTCTTCGACGTCGTCAAATGACGAACGAACCTCGTCTTGAAGTCTTTTCAACACGCGTGGACTGCGCATCAGGTACCAGAAACAGCCTGACAAGGTTGTCGACGAAGTATCCGACCCGGCTCCAAGTAGTAGAGCAGCCTCGCCGACAAGATCCTGTGGTCTGAATACTTCGCTGGTTCTAGGGTCTTTGGCCTGCATGAGATAGTGGAAGAGGTCTTTGCGTTGTTCGTCAGGCGACTTTTCGGCATTGGCCTTCTCCAAAGCAAATCGCTCCTGGACGAGTTTGCCGACGTCCTCACGGTACATGGTCCTCTGCTTGAAAGTTTTGTTGCCGGTGGCTTTCAGGATCCTTGGCGTCATGAAAGGGAACAGAAATTCCCGGATGGGCAGGAACGATAGCTGCAGAGTGACTCAGAAGGGGCCTTCGGGATGAGGTCTCATTTACTCACACATTGCTGGAATCGGACACTTGACATGAGCAACTCGAGAATATAGCTGGAGCCCTTCTTCATAGCGCCAAACTTGGCCCCAAAACAGAGATCACCGAAAACATCGACGATGAAGAGCGTGGACCAAGTGCTCATGTCGCGCTCTTCGCTCCATCCAGAGCTTCCATCGTCATCTCTGGGTTCAGACAGGTGATCGCACCATTCGCGCACTGCTTCCAACAGGTACGGCTCGAGGTTTCTCAGTGCGCTGTCGGAGAATGCATTGTTGAGCAGGCGTCGCCTCTTGGCGTGCAGCTCACGGTCGGAAAGTGAGTGCGTCGTGATGCCGGGGTTGATGCGAAGACCTGTCGCTGTCCAGCCGGTCTTGATCACGTTGGCTCGTCGATCGGTGTAGATGTCTTGAAGGGCGCCCACTGTTCGGAAGGAAAGCTTGTCAGGAGAGAATCTGACGACGTCGCCTATGAAGATCGATCAGCAGATTGTCCACGAAGGAGGACTATGTCAAAATGAACCGTATTTCTCGTGAAGGAGGTAGAGATCGAGATGTCGTCGCCCTTGCCAGGCAGATCTCGCTTCTGGCCATTGTGACAATTTGGCCAATGTTGGTCCAGGATACTTGGCCAACGGATGGAAAAAGAGTCGATATATTGCTACAGTGGTGATCTGTGAAAAGTCGTCAGAGAAGGTTTCCCACGGGAGGAATTCAACTTACACAAACAACAACAGCCGCAGCTAGTGCGGGTGACATGGAAAGCACAGAGGGAATCGCCATGGCTGAGGCTTTGCACAAGAAACCGGAGTAAGAAAATTTAGAAAACACAAGATGAGGGCGGTGGTCCGGTCTGCAACATATGCGCTGGATTGCCTGGTCTCTCCACGTACTCGATCTCTTACCTTTGTGATTTCAGGTCAGGACGGAGCAAATGCGTGGAAGATCATTTGATGTATCAATAATACGAGCGAGATATGCTTCACCGCACTTCTTACCATTCCTGGGTCGACGTATTCTCGTTTAGTGGTGCATGCCGCACAACCAACCTTGCAGCAGTGGCCGCCTGACAGCTGAGTTCAACCAGCCCCTGTATGAATCCGATTTGTGCTGCGCCCATAGGCGACGATGCATGGCTGGACTCTTGAAGATTAGCAGCACACTTGGCTGTTCCTCGTCCAGCAAACGACGGACATGAAACCAGAAGTGGCAGCCCTTGCGATGTTACCTGGATCTGACATCCACACCAACGAGGGCTTACTCATCGCGTATCACGATGGCTTTCGACATGCGCCACTGAACTCATCAGTATTCGATTCAAGGACGCATGACGGCCACACCTACGAGACAACGATATGCCGTCTCTTCTATGGCGGTGGCTTCGTTTTCGGGTTGATGAGGAACGGCTCAAGGATATCTGTATGTGGTTGAAAGCACAGATGGAAAAAGGTAATTCCGTGACGAGTTCCTCCACTACTGCCACCATCACAATGACCGGCTGTGGTGCCGCGGTTCTCCAACTTAAGGGGTCTGTCTCCCTTCTCGATTTTACCCCAATTTCCACAATTGCCTCTTCGGGTCTTGATGGGTATCGCATATTCCACGATCACTGTCCGAAGAGATGCATTCCGGTGTTGAGCCTAGCCTTGCAAGATTTTCGCGGCTCCTTTTTTGGTGTAGACGACTCAGTGTGGTGTCTTTTGTTTCGATTGATAGGTCTCCCGGCATTTCATCTACACGGCATTTAGAATACAGGGCTTCTCACGCAGATTATATCGTCATCCAACTGTGAAACCAGCAAAACAACATTATGGATCTATCCAAGGTCTCAGGGCTGGGATTTGTGGGCTTGGGAGCCATGGGACTGCCCATGGCCGGCCACCTTGCTGCCAAACTCCCAGAACATATTCAAGTCTATGTCTTCGATATCAACCAGGCCAGCGTCGACCAACTCCACAAGGACTATCCCAAAAGAGTGGTCAAATGCTCGTCAGCAAAGGAAGTGGCAGACAAATCAGTATATCTCCATCTCTGAGGAGTCGTTGCACACTGCTGACAAGCCCAATAGGAAATTATTCTGACGATGCTTCCCGAAGGCAAGCATGTCCGATCAGTATATATTGAGGGAGGTGCCGACACTATCCTGGCAAGTGATGTCGCGGGCAAGCTCCTGATTGATTGCTCAACGATCGACACTGCCAGCAGTCTTGCTGTCAAAGACTACATCAACGAGAAATTCCCCACGGCGTCCTTCTACGATGCACCAGTTAGTGGAGGAGTAGTCGGCGCTCAGAAAGGGACGATAGCATTTTTCCTTGGCTGCGACGGCAATGACCCTAACCTTTCACACATCACCGGCTTACTGAAGCTGATGGGCAAGGATGTGATTCCTTGCGGCGGGCCCTCCAAAGGACTCGCGGCCAAGTTATCCAACAACTACTTATCCGGGACCATTGCCATTGCCGTCTCCGAAGCTATGGACATGGGGATGCGAGCGGGGCTGGATCCTCGAGTATTGGCCAAGGTCT